GCTGGTGACTCATGGCAGCCCAGCTCCAGGTCGAGCTGTAGTTCACCATCTTAGCTGTAGAGGGTGCAGCATCACTGGCCCTTAATGTGTGATCCGAACCAGGGTCCTGCTGCTCAGAGCTGGCGTCCAAAGCCAACTCAACCAACGCACCAGTCGGCCGGCCCGATTATTGACTTTTTTACCATCCTCCTTTTCATGGCTTTAGAGTCATGCCCCTTTGGTTCCCTTTAGCATTTCAATGGCTATTCCAGATTAATTTTGTCACAGCTCTAATTCCTTTATCCACCCGTTAAAAGATGATTTTTCTTGTGGTTTGATTCTTAGACCTCTTTTCTTTTAGTCTACAGTTTTCTCTGGGTGATGTCATTTATTCTCAGGGCTTCAGATGATAGTGACTCCCCAAATTCTATCTCCAGTCTAGTTCTCTCACCTGAGCTCCAGACCCACATATCCATATACTCATCTCGGACAGCCCACAAGTTTCTCAAGCTTACCACGTCCAAAATTGAATTGCTCACTCTCGTCTCACCCACAAGCTCTTCCTTCTTCCCTATTTCAGCGTGAATTGTAATATCAATCTAGTTGCACAGCAGAACACATAGGAGTTATTCCTGACCCTTCCCTTTACTGCCTCATCCATCTAACCTCCAGTAAGCTCTCTATGGAGTCCATCCACTTCTTTTAATCATCACTGCTTCTGCTTTGGCTAAGGTCATGATCATTTTTCACCTAGCATAATTCAGTGACCTCTCTGATTACCATGACACTAATGTCATCTCTTATTTATCTTTCACATTATTGCCTAGAATGATTTTAAAAATATGTTCCTCTCCTGTTATGAAAACCCTTCGAGTCCTCATAATCGTAGAATAGTCTACATTTTTTTTCAGCATGGAATGTAGGTCTTTTATGTCCTCTAGCCTTTTGCCACCTTTCCAGCTTTCTCTTTCTCTCTTTCTCTCCCTCTCTCTCTTTCTCTCTCTCTCTGAATTCTAAGTGGTAGCCATTCTAAACAGGCTGAAATTGAGGACCCCTAAAGCATCCTTTGCCTGTAGACCCTCATACAGGTAGTACATTCTTCCTCTCATTTCTCAGTAGGAGTCCTTCAGCTGAGTTTTCCAAGTCTACTACAGGGACCATCTCTGAGTTTGAATTTTCATGCTCTTTTTCTGCGCTCCTATAGCATTCCGTATCCACCTATATATCAGAATAATCCCATTCTTTAAGTAATTATCTATTTTCTGTCTTATTGGAATAAGAGCTTATTGAAGCCACTGAAGGACCATGTCTATCTTTGCATCCCTAGATTGGGCACATCATTGGAAAATGATAAATGTCTGTTGAAGGAGTGAAGGAATGAATTAATGAATGAGTAAAAGGTTGAATAAATGTTCTTCCTCCCTTGTCTTCTTGTGGCTTTGCTTGAAATCCATTTTCCTCCCAATATGAATGATCTGTTTTATTTCAGTGTTCTGCCAATGGATTTATGACCCAGACAATCAACAACTCTGGCCAAGGCTTTTGTGGCACTATGGGATCGGTAATAAAAAATGGAGGGCAGGAAACAATTGAAATGATGAAAGGAGGACACCAGACCTTGGAATCATGTCGAGGGCATCATCACACCCACACCCTGGATTCCTGCAGGGGAGGACACGCGGAGATGGACAACTCCAGATACACTTACTCAGAATGGCATAATTTCACACAACCCCGTCTTCATGAAGTGAGTTTCCCTAAGTTACTTGACTCTGCAATTTAAATGTCCAAGTGGAGAA